TCAAACAACATCATCATCGCCCTAGTCACAACGACTCCCAATAAGACAATGCACCCAAAATCCTCCACGTCATCCTAAAGCTGACCTACTACAAGGCTACGCCTAGGAATCAAGACATCGGATCAAGGTCACACACACAATCCCGACAACCAAGGTCATACAACCCCAAGCACAGTACGGAATGAAAAAAAAAAAGAATGAACTAATAAAACAATTAGTCATGAAACATATATACATATATGCAAGTATACATTCACAAGTATACTAAGAAATATTGAAATGGAAACACAATAGATATATATATATATATGCACAAGCATACATCCACAAGTATACTAAGCAATACTAAATTCATGGTAGATAAGTATACAGGCTCAAGTATACTAAACCAAAACAAACTGAAGTATACAACGTATAAGCATACTAGGTACAAGTATATTAAACGTAAATGAAAATCCACGAAAAATTTCACAGAAACCATATTGCACCATACACTAAACATAGTGTACAAGGGCAATCAAATATGCTACCTATCAAATATGGTCAAGCATCAAAGACACGCTACACATCACCTATGACTCTAGGATGACGAACAGATATAGCAAATGGAAAATACATCATCTATATCAGCAGATAACTACTAATAGTCACATCCCCTAACATGTTTCTAAGGCATGCTCACAACAACAGGGTATATAAACATGCAAGAATGACTATGCAAATAACAATCCCACAAGAACAAAAGCAAAAAGGGATGGAATGCCTCTCAAAAGAACGAGCTCACCGAAAGTGAATCCCAAAAACCCGGATAAGTCCAGCCCCTCACTGCGAGGAAATAAATCATCTCTTAGAATGAACACTAAGGTTCCCGAAACAAAGAACCTCAAGTCTTTCCCAAGATTGACTCAAACCCAAGGTGGAGTCCTAAAGCCACTCAAAACAAACCAGTGATGTAATGCATAGTTCCAATACTATTCATTGCGAAACACCAACAAAAGAACTCAACTCAAGATGCTGACGAGTTCGATGAGAACTCTACAGGATCCTATCGGAACCCTAAACACAATCCCCTAGTCTCCAATGACGAGGGAAAGTAATTAATTGCACCGATGCAATTAATTACACGAAACCATTCACACCCCAACCTTAGCTCGTAAGAGCTGTCTAAGGCTAGACAAGAAGAATCCTAGGTCAACGCACCTATCAAATCCCTAACCATCACTCTAAAAAGAAAAGACACGAGAGCTTCACCGTTAAGGCTCACAAAAACTAACCTCCAAATCCCCAAGGAAGGACTCAAGTCAATCCCAACTCATCATCCCATGATGCTAAAAACAAGACCCCAATAATGTCACCATATCAAAGTCACCACGAAACCCCAAGAGACGTTCCCAACACCCCAGACACTCCCCGACTACATGGAGCTTTTTAAATTGCCTAAATTGAAAATGCAATCTTAAAATACACCCACAAGACCCCCGGAAGTTTTAGATTGGTTGACACATTTTTAAAAAAAAAGTCGATGAATAGTACCAAGTACTAAAATCTCAAGTTTTAAAAACATATTTGTAAACTTTAGAATTAATGGCCCTTGGCCTCATGTCATACATACAAAATAAGCATTCAAAAAGTATACTTAGGTACACATTATATATTTGGAATCAAGGATACAAGTTTTGATCTATAAAACTCTAAAATGACATTTCATGCTAACATTTGCATGAATGGGAATTTTAAAAGCTACAAGTCATCCAATGAATGATGAGCATTGCGAACCAAGTCTTCATACTTGAAACAAATCCCCAGTAACTTCGGGGTGAGTAACATAAAGCTACTCATAGGAAATAAGCATGGATCGACCTAACATTTTATAATTTAATCAGCTTAAGGTGAAACATGTTAAAAGGGCTCATGCCACCTAATGTCTATGTCAAGTGAGAATCGGGGATCATCCTAAGCTACTCATGCAATCAAAATGAACTACGACATATAAATACACATGCTCAAGTACACTAAATCGTATTAAAACATGATACACGACATACAAGCATACATGTTAAAGTACCTTAAATCATGTTAAACAAGATAAGTAATATTTAACACACATACACAAGTATTCAACATATATAGAGTACTCGTAAATCAAGTATACAAATATAAGTATACTAAGCTAAACAAAATACACATAAGACAAGTATACACGGCACAAGTATACTAAATGAAATTTAAATTCACGGAGTAAGTATACAAGTTCAAGTATACTAACTAGGATTCAAATATCTAAAGCAAGCATCAATTCTCAAGCTACAAGTAATCCATGATCAACAACTTGAATTTAAATGCGAAATCAAATAGTGGAAAGACTAGGATATGCGGTCGCTAGACCAAGTAAGTATTTTCAGGTAATTACGACCCACAAGGTACCACCTAGTGCACACTTATGACTTAGAGGACACTTGTCCACGTACTTGAGCCAAACCCTAGCCACCACATAAATTATGTCCTGACAAGCTTTCCAAAATCAATAAGTTCAAAACTTATACAAAATCAAATGCAAGTTACCACATTCCATGCACAAGTAAGGTTGAATCCATACAAACCATGCCCTAAAATTCAAGTCTATATAGCATATGACATGTTATGTCTTCAATATACAATTTATACCCAACGCAAGAATATTTTACAACAATTGAACCAAATTACCATCCTAAGCCACAAGTACTAAATAAGCCACAATTTAGTAACTAACTTTCAAGGTAAATAATTGTAATATTCTAACAAGTTATATACTTACACAAGATATATTTAAACAAGTCATGTAAGACAATGATATCCTATATCATACTAAGTCTAATTCCTTGATTTAAACATAGAAACAATATCAAAGACATAGTTAAATCTAAAATAATTATATTATCTAGATTTCAAATCAATCCCAAATAATCTTAAATTAATATATGTTAAGGGACATAGCATAATCTTCACATATATCACATCAAATATTGAATCAAGGGATTAAAACACTTAAAATAAAATTAATTAAATTCATTAATTAATTTCTTTAGATTTCCAAATAACTCCAAATGTCCTCAATTTAACATAGGTTGAAGAACATACCAAGTCCTATTTTAATATCACATTACAAGTTAATTTCATGCTTGTTACAATTATGTGAATTAATTTTTTACAAAAGATAAATATTAAATAAAATTTGTATATCTTATTCAAATGCTCCCAATTTAATATATGTTGATATACATACCAAGGCCTAATTTACTAGTATGCCACAATTTAATTCTAAGGTACACACCTTCATGAGAATTAAATCTTAAACATAGAAAATAATTAAATTAAATTTTAAAACTTGAACAAAGACATGCTTATAAGTTGTATATGCTTATATAATAATCAATACAACATAAATATAACCCTAAGACATCCCTTACCTCAATTTGAGATGAAAATCTCAAAAGCCACCAAAATGAAACCGCTCCGAATCCGACGATACTTCGGGGTTTTATCAGGGACAACATGGTGAACATTAAATTCCAAAGAGATCCTACCAAAATCCTAACTTGACCTCAAACCCGAACTCAAAATTTGGCCAAAAATGGGTTCTAATAAGGGGGAAAGATGCGTGTCGTCAAGACAAACACAAAACGCAAAGGCACTATGACTTTTTAACAAAGGGAATGAGGTTTAATTGAGAGAAGAAGGGTGGCAGCCCCCCTTGGGCTGCCATGGCAACTGCTGGTTGTGCATGAAGAGAGAGGAGAAGGTCAAAAATGAAATATCTCACCCCCCTTTTATAGGAAAACCCTAAAAGTGCCCCGCTAAGTTCGGAAAAGTGAAATTTGAGCAACCGTGCTCAAATGACAAAACTCTGTGAACGAAAAAGAACCGAAACGAGAAAATATGAATAACAGAAGAAACGGCGTCAAAAACTGAGTCCCGAGTAGAGAGATATGCCCTGAACAAGTTCGACGGCAATCGATGCCAAAAACCCTGAAACTGGGGGAAAACAACCTGAAGGCAATTCTAAAAGTACGACTCGACGAAAAAGTGAAAATGAATCCCGTACGAGAATTTAGGCTCAAAACGAGGCATTTTTGCAATAACTTTCATTAATTGCACAATGATCCCTCCAAAAAGTGAAAACTGCACTAATGACCCAGAATGAAAATATCTTCCAAAAATATTTTCTTAAAAACCCCTGAAATAAAATATCTCTAAAAGATATTTATGAAAAATATCCTAAGACAAAATAATGTTTCTAAAGAACTTTGCATCCATGCACCTATGGACGGAAGTAACTAGAGTACTTTCTTATAAAAGTAAAGATACGTATTTCGTGCAAACCATTTAGAATCAAGATACATGAAATCAAAAACCAACTCCAAACACAAAAAGTGAGGTTAAGCCAACAAAGTGACAAACGGGGAAAAGACAAAATAGGGAAAAGGACGAAAAGTGAATAGTGTCCAAAAACGAAAAATGTGGAAATGACTCGGTTCTTAAAGAAAGTTGTCAATTCAAAAGAAAGAGTTTCAGAAACCATTTCTGAGCACTTGAGACGATACTAAATGACGATAAACTAACCTAAAAAAAAGAAATTTTCACGAAAAAAATTCATCTGTGAAATTCTGAGAAAACGAAAAGGAAGAAAATGACCGTGTCATTACAGTTATGGAATGAGTTTTAATTCTAATATAATGATCATTCATACCTTAAATTACATACCAAAGAAAGAAAAAAATTTAAAGTTACTTTTCATTCTTTCGCACCAAACCAAATATTGGAGCTAAAACAACAGTTTTGTTAATTATTAACATATATATATATATATATATATATATATATATATATAATTTGCAATGGCGTTTTGCAATTGGGCGGTCTAAACTTTGGGTAACAAGCCTGTCTTCCTGCATCATTACAATAGCATAGGTTGCAGTGATACATTCTTATTATATATATATATAGACAGTCACATACGAGTCTTCATTAAGGAAAACAAAAATATATACTAGCAGTATTATTTTAGTTTTATTCTTTTTTTATTTTATTTAATTAAAGTCGTTATTTTTACTCTATTAATTTCTCTGTCAAACTCGTACGGCTCGATATGCTGATGCAGGCCAAATTTCCGTGTAAATACTATCGGATCTGAAATGGGTTTTCTCAATCCTAGATTCTACTTATAATGATAATGATAAGAGCAATGATAGTGTTGTGAATCGATTAGATTTAATATATATATATATAAATTTTGGCTTCTCGTCCTATTACTATTTTTATTTATTTTTGGGAATTATGGCCCAAATCTAACACCATGAGGAAGAAGCTCGGTACTCGTTTCCCTGCTGTAAGTTCCTTTCTGTTCTTCTTCCTCTGCTTCTCTCTTTTGTTATTTATGTGTAAAATAAAACACACACACTTGTAGATACCGATGACTATATGATATTATTTTCCTTGTTTTCTGGTATCAATCAGTTTAAGCTTTCTGATTTGCGCCGATATATGATCTGGGTTACGCTTTTTTTGAACTTGGGAATGGTAATAGTTGGTATGGTTGTGATTGGCGTTTTGGTTTCCTATGGCTAATGTAATACGCTTTTTTTTTTTGGGCGTTTTTGTGGGAATTTGATGGAAACCCTTTGTTAGGGGTTTGAAATGCTATGTTAATCTTGTTATATATTTGTTTTGGAACTTTTTTTGTATACTTTGATGGATGAGCTGACTTTCCCTGTGTAGTCTATTTTAACATGAATCTTCATCTGGGATTATATATCTGCGGTTGGAAGTTTTTGGACTTGTCACCTGATCTATAATGAAGTTGACTTTGTGTATATATCAATATATATGTTGGTGATGTTGCAATTCTAGGCTTGCTATCAAATCGAGGTTTTATGTTTGAAGGAGGCTCCATTCTTCTGCCTCCAGTTTCAGATGCTGTATCTTTGTTCTGGCTTTTGGAGTAGGGTATTTGCTTTTTTGCTGTCTCGAGTACGTGTAGAATTTGCTTCTCAGGATGATTAGAAAGCAGAGAGCAATTAGGAAGTGTTGTTTCATTTAATTCACACCAATACCAAGGTGACCATGCTGTGTTATGTGGGCTCGACCTTCTTATGTGAATGGGATTGATATGATTCTTAGATGCTTAAAATGTTTGCCACTGGGTCAAGGCTTTAAGATCACATCTGGCTGGACTATCAGGTTGCAGATTAGATATTTGTTGATGGCTCGATGCCTCAGTCGACTTCCTATTATGACTCGTTACAATTTCGCTTTTAGTCTAATTCCGCATCCTTTTTTCTTTGATAAGTCTAATTCCGCATCCTTTTTTCTTTGATAAGTCTAATTCCGCATCCTTAAAATACATCTAAGATATGTTGTAGAGTCAGATTCTGATAGTTCCTTCCAATTCTTCTTTCTTAGTTGTACTCCCAGTTAAGTTAATTTGCCGATTTGCCCCCCCCTCCCCCCCTTTCCCCCCCCCCCCCCCCTTTTTTTAGACAATTTGTGGCTGGTCAATTTAATTGGATTACAATAATGTTTGTCCTGGTCTTGAAATGTCCGTGTACAAACTGGAGCTTCAAATACAGCAGTTCAATATTACACTAAAGTTTGGAATGGCTTTCAGATTCTACTGTTACTTTCATAATTTTAGCTTTTACTTTTGGAAAAATATTACTAGAATCATCCTACACAATTGGTATTAAATAGATGCAACAGTCAAGGTCCAATAGAATGTCTATTACCAGGTTCAATTTCCCTTATTCATCTCTTTTTAGATTATTGCCTACCTTAACTTATGCTATAGGCTTCTCTATTGCCTCTTAGGTTTTATGTTGGGTCACCAATTCTTTTCTCAAACTAATGTCACCTTGTAGTGAATTGGTTTCGTGGAACAATGATCTTGAGAGAAAGCCTTTTTATTGGTTTTATCAGTTTGAGCCATTTCAATGATTTTACCTCTTTGGACTTTATTTTTTTGATAAGTACCTCTTTGGACTTATTATTCTATCATTTAACTAGAATTGGTTATTAGCTGTGATGGGATTTCGGATGTGGACAGGAATTAGTTTTGTTCCTTTTACAGAGGGGGAGCTATAAAGTAGATGTTGCCTCAGTATTTATCTACCGAATTATCAAACTGTTTTTGGCAGGGGAGGGTTAAGTCCTGCTTCAAAAGACACTATTAAATCATGAATGCTTGGTATTTACTCACTTTGTTATTTGTACTGGTAGTGGTAGCTTTCTTATTTTTTCGGAGATGATTGATGAGTTTTTTTGTTTGCTAGTAGGATATTTATACTATACCAATGGTGATGTATTCTTGTAAATTAATTATAAGGCTAAGAGGAGCTTCTGAAGAGTATCGCTCATAAAATGTGATGTAGAGCATGCAAACAAGAAAACAGGTAAATCAGGATTTACACATGGAGAGCACTTTAGATTTTAAGTAATGGAAGTTTTGGATTGAGTCAAGTCTTATGTTATGCTAATTTTAGGTTCATTTGCTGCAAGTGTAATCTTATTTATACCTAGAAAATTATCATTAAAAAAAAAAAATGTTAAGACTTATTCAATATGAGCAATGTGCCAGCGGAAGGGGAAAGCCAAAATGAACATGTGTTGAGATAAGAAACAAAGCTATGATAGAGTGTGGTTTAATTGGGGTTATGGTCTTAGTGTAGAATGGAGAAATATGAATCATTTAGCCAATCCTAATGGTTTGACAAGGCTTTTGTTGAGTTGAGTTGCTGATCTTATAGTTTATGAGTCAAGGTGTTGATGCTTCAAGGGTCCTGTTCTCAGTCAAGTTATTGCATCTTTACATGTGGTTTATAGTAGGTCTAGATAGTTGTAATAAAGGTAGGAGAGGCCAATCAACTTATAGATATCTACGTAAAAGTGATCTATTCAAAGAAGAGTTAGGTTTTGGTAATTTGATAGGAGTTCTGGAGCTTTGCTTGATGTGTGATCAGACTTAAAGGTGATCTTAAAGAATTCTAGAGGATACTTTCTTCTTCTCCATTTCTTCCTTGCGTTTACTTCCTATGCTACATGGACTCGGATACGTGTGTTGGGTGCGGTAAGTACACGAATTGGATATGTCAAATCTCCAAACAAAAGGACACATAGACATTGCAAAATATTTATATTATTTAATATTTTTATGTTATGTTGTGCGTCAAATAATGTCTTTATGTAACATAGTATGCAATATTGGCATTTCACTCATTTTGAAGCAATAATATAATAAAATTGCATTATTGGACATGGTTTTTAGGTGCATGTCCAACCAAATGTATTGGATACACATCCCATACCCATATCCGAGCAATGTGTATCGGACACGAGTACTTCACCTACTATTGAAGAGTCCATGCAACACAGTTTACTTCCTATAAGCTATTACTTCCCAATCCACTACAAACCCTAGGACCTCTCTTTTACCATTAAAAACCTTAAAGGTACAAGCTTTACATATCTTAGCCACCACAAAACCATTTGTAGGCCTCATTATTTTGAGTTTCCTTGTGCTGCCCTACATCAAAATGCCAGTCTTGACATGTATGCTTATGAAAATATATGCTGGTCATTTATGTTGGTCTCTTTGTCGGGGCAGACTTGCAGTTTTGTGCATACTCTGATAATCTCATGATCTGCCAATCGTAATAGGTTTGGTTTCTGGTTTAGGTGATTTATTTGGTTTTTGTCGTCTCATGGTTTATATTATATTGTTATACTTCTTATCTTTTGTACTTTTTTCACTATGGATGGATTTTTCTAGTTTATCCAGAATATTTGAAAAAGAAATTGCGGAGCCTCCATTAAATGGGTTGGTTTTTGGTGTAGAACCTGTAGGTATTTAATTGGTTTTTTAGTGGTGTTAGTGGGCTATACTTTGTATTATTTATTTATTTAAACCTTTTTGAGAAGTATGCAAGGGTTCCTGTTTTTTGCTTGTTTTGTATAGCTAGTGAAGTTTTTCTGGTTTTCACTCAAATATCAAAAGAAGAAAAACAATGTATGTGGAGCCCGCTGCCTACTCTTGTGTGTCTTTTCTTAAAGTTTGATTCGTTTTGCTATTGCATTTCCACCATTTACTGAAGTAAAGCATACACTGGGCAGTTGCCTTGCTTGTGTTCAGTTGCCTGCATTCAGGCTTAGAGGGGCAATAGTGGAAAGTTAGTATATTGATGCCTGCATTTAATCAGATCTGAATACAGAGAATAAGTGCTGCTAACAGTCAACTTTGAGTTTTATTTGAACATATAAATAATTTTTAGTCTTGTGTAAAAATCTTTTAAGTTGGATTAGTCTAAGGAAGAAATATACATGTCAATAATGGAACTAGAAAGGAAAGGAGTAAAAAAGGAGAATTGATTAGCACCTTAATTTAAGTTTTCCAGGCTAGTACTTTTTTAAGTTTTTTGTTCCCAATTGTGGATTTGGTTGTAGAATGAGATGGTTGTTTAGAGTTACTGAAAGCCATTAATTCAAGTCTAGCCTGATATTGATTACCATTGGCTTGGTCAGAAGGTAGATAGGGGTTCAATGTCATGATGGAATTAAGGGAGGAGGGTTCTGTGTCAAATCAAGTGGGTAGAGTTGTGGAGTACATAAGCATTTGATTGTTTAAAAGAGTGAGGGTTGGGAGAATTTGATCTTGAGCACATAATATTTCTACCTCTAGAATTATTACTGAAGATCCCTATTCCTTTATTGGACAATTTATTTTTGAACATCCCTATTACCAGGGTAGTTTATCCAGATTTGAATGTTAATGCTTGCAATACTTGGGTCTATTAAAAAAAGTGGGAATTTGACCTTTGAGTATCTTGCAGTTAGAAATGCTTTTAGCATTATGGTTTGGGTGGTTGTGGTGGAAATGTTGAAGCTTAGGGGAGTGTAGGGTGAGGTTTTGATTGGAAGGTTGAAGCATTAAAAGGGAACAAGTAGTACTAATGGACAATTTGATGTTTACAGTTTTATGAGGGCTGGGGTGGTTAAATGTTTTTGGTACTGTCTGGGGCGGGGGTGGGAAATGCGGCTGTTGAAGCCTCATAAAGGAAGCTGGCAGCTAACCATTTGTGGTTTTTTCCAATGCAATTAAATGGTGGTTCTCTTTGCAACTGATATAATTTTGGTTTTGGAGTTTTTTAGGTGGTAAGCAACAATTTTTAGGGGTTCTCTCATAGTGTAATTATTTTCCATTTAGTCATTCATTGTTAAAAAAATGGCTGAGGGAGGTGGCACTATTTTTTTAAACCTTGAGGCCTTTGTATATATAGTTGAGATGAAATCTTGAGTTTCCAGCTTAGATAATTGAATGTAAAGATGAAAAGGAAAATT